AGTGTGTGATATATTCTGTAAAAGTGGAACACAAGCCAAGCACCAGATCTGCATCACGGTGAATAGATGGACGAAGGCCCACAAAGGCTATACAAAGATGTTTTTTGTTTTGCTCGTTTCATTCAGACTAAATGACTTCATAAAACAAAACTGGAGTGATTTTTGGCATTTTGTTTTCTCATTTTTTCCCATTTGGAAACAAACATAGACCACATGCTTTAGTTTTTTTGTTTTACCGGACGAAGAACCCATCTGACCTCGGTTTTTGGTTTCCAAACAAAAAAGAACAACAGGAGTCGCCAAAAAACAATAGACTGGTTTTTCATTTTTTGACACCATACTTGGAAAGTTTTTCTGAAACCGTTTCAAAACAAGTTGCCACTTTTAAAATTACGAATGAATTACAGATGATCTAATTATACTGAGGCCGAGATGGAACTTCAAATATCTGTAATCTTTAGCTGATGTTCTAATTTCACTCTAGTGTAGTATTAACTCGTCACATGTATTATAGTCCCTCGTTTTTTCCTAATATCACCACAAGAACATGTTCATTTTGTGCAGCGCCGCTACAAACTACTGTCTATATCATGGTCTGACATGTTGACACTGCAGCCTGCTGAAGAAACAGACGTGACAAAAACTGATATCAAAACGAGGGTGAAACATTTAAGGCTTCGGGTTAGAGGCGGGCGTGACCGAGCCCAAAGATTTATGGGACTCCCGGGGGCGGCAGCATTATGGCCCAGCGCAGCGCCACACATCATCATTATCTGAGGCAGCGCAGTGTGGCGGGACGAGGAAGGAGGCCGGAGCTGTGAAAAATGGAGCCGAGGCGACTCCATCTGGCACGTGGCGCGATGCCGAGGGAGACATTAACTGGAGGTAACACCAGGGTCCATTGGCATTTCTCAACAGCGTGATCAATGAGGCCAATTAGAGCCCACGGGAGGACGCATTTGGAACCCACGACGCCATCGCCGCAATTCCACCGGTGCCATCATAAAGCAGCCGACGCACGACTGCATTCGTCTCCCAAAATCAATATCCGCTGCCTTGAAATGTAAAGGACAGATATGAGGTTCATCACATGGACAAGTAAGAGCGTTCTCTCATCCTCGAGCAGTTAAACTCGTCCTCGTTTTAAAGCGGAGTCTCCCCGAGCGGTCATTATAGTCCACCCATCTTAGATCACAGTGAGAGCAGTAAAGCCACCACATGTTGTCTTCATTAAGCTCCACATCCATCCATCTCTCCCTGAGAGCCTAATTTCCTCATCTGCTGGCCGCTGCTTCAATTCAACTCCATGTGCATTTTTTCCTGTTTATAGCGAAAGATCGATCACACTCTTCTGTAAACAGCAGAGTGAACTCGTGTCAGCCGGAGATGGGATGTTCGCTTCAGACGAATGAGGACGACGTTAACGAGCAACAGACTATGAAACCTCAGACGTCTATTGAAAGTTACACAAAGGGCCATAAGAACAAAGAAACTGTCATAAAAATACAGCGTATATGAAGTGTTTTCGACTTTCACTGAGTTACTTACATCAGTCCTGATCATAACTACCAAATATTCATTCATTACCAGGATCTTAACCCTTTAAATGCAGCTTTGTTTACACGATAATTGTTTTTCATGAAAACAGAAAATTCTCCACACACTTGGTGATAAGTGATTTTTTTCTAAACAGTCCGATATGTCAATGATCAAAAACAGCAGTTTAAATGTGTTTCAATGGGCAAATGTTTGTCCGTAAGCTCCTAATGTACCTTTTTGTTGTGCACAGTGTGTTGTTGATGTTTTATAGGTTTCACATTTTCCAATAAAAATACACAATTTTGCCAAAAAAACATTTTTGCTTTTAGAAGACACAAAAAAATCCATATACTTAGTGGTACGTGGATGTTTTACTGGGTTTTTTATTGCCACATTTTTGTCTTTAAGGTCCTGAGTGTAACTTTTTGCGAGCACGATATGTTGGTGATGTATTCTGGGAACTGAGGTTGAAAAATTTCTAAACTCAAACTCCTTCTCCAACTAGAACTGATACAACTAAAAGTAAAATAAATAAATAATCAAACACTAAAAGGATTAAAATGCCCTTAACGTTGCATGAGGGTTAACATTTTAACATTTCAGTAAGTTTAACAACGGCTTAAAAACAGAATAAGACAGGAACATCTGAAAAAAAAAAGTCATGGCCGACTTCACTGAACCTGTAGCTGTTGCATGTTTAGCTCTAGTTGGTTCCCTGAAGCTGAAATCCCTCCAGTTAGCTGATTTTGCATTTAGTGATATTTGGTCTGTTCAGTTATTCAGTGTATTGATTAAGTTGCCACTGAAAAAGTGGTTATAGGACAGCAATAATCCTGTCTTTGAAGCTTTTAAAATGTAACCCTAAACTCTATGACATTTATCAGTAAGCAGCGTTTAGTTTGTGTGATTGTAACAAACAAAGGCTTTTCATGTATTATTTTCATGTTTAATCAACCTGCAACCTACTGATGTGACATCTTCCAATGTCTTCTTTATCTGACCAACAGTTCACATTTAATTAATTATATTAAAACATGCCTTTCTGGTATTTTTGCATGAAAAAAAGAACTTGCTAAACTTCATTTAGAAGAAGGGGAAAGTGGGAAAACTTGCTTGAAACTCATTGATTACTTGACTTATCGCTCCAGCTGTACTCCAGACCACAGGCGTTTACTGTTCGAGGAAAGAATGTGACTGTGCAAAAAAAGCCTGAATCATAATTATTTAACTTTATAGGCTATTAAAGGCAATTTTTTCTCCTTGGCTGTAGTTGGCTTGAACAGCCGGCGCTGTGTTATTCTAACTCCCTCATGCTCCTAGAAATATGTATAGATTTATATGCAAACTATCAAAAGCAAAGTAACGGTCATCTCCACCTTTCAGAGATAACTTCAGTGTCACAGTTTGAGATATCATCAAGCCAAAGTCGAGTGTATTTGACAACTACATTTTAACGCCATGTTATAGAAACTTTGGTGCTTCTGTGTTCATTTTGTTGATTTCTCTTTTGTAAAGGTGATGACAGTGATGTGCAGCTACTGAGCTCAGCCTCCAGCTCATTTATAAACTATTATTTTACAGTCTGACATAAAGCTCTCTGCTCCCACGTCATGCAAATCTTCAAATCTAAACAATGTCGAGGTGCAGTAGGTGGGAGTTTGGTCTAATTTACGGAGCAGCAGGGAATCGGTCCGGCCTCTCCCAGCTCGCCGCTATCGCATTAAAACTCCCGATCTGCTCTTTGAAAAGTCACGTTTTTGTCCAGTGATTCATTCCCACATGCCTCTCAGATTACAGTCTATCACTCCAGCACGGACAGACATACACACCCTGATCCTGAATAAAAACAGATTTGGTCCGTTCAAAGCTTTGTTTCACGTCCGCAAACCTGCATTCAATCCAATTTACAGCCGAATGTTTTCCTGATTGCCTCTCTGCAGAGTCACAGTCAGTAAAGAGATCTCCATCAAAGCCAAACTGGACACACAGCCTCTCTGTCCATCTGGCCAACAAAACCCAGGACCAGATGTTTACAGGAAAGCTGCTTTGTTTCAGTATTTTTTTTTATTTTTTTTAAATGGCCAGGAACTGGAGGCAGACGTGTTTCTGATGGATGCAAGATCATGAAGTGCTGCGTGGAATGCAACAACAAACGTGGAAAGTTAATTTATTCCTTTGAAATATGTTTCCCCAGTGGAGCCCCTGAATGGCTGCAAACTGTAGGAAATAATTCACTTGCCTTCACCTTTCCGTGTCCTTTTCCTTCCTATGAATGTGGACCGTGCAGCCGACGGGGCGATAAGGTCAATGTGAAGTAATTAAATAAAACAAAACTTCTTTTTGCAGACTTCTGCTCTGCGTTTCAGACCCTTATGGTTTTGTTTTTCTTTGTTGTGAAAATAACCAACAATGCATCATGATAATGGGATGTCTCACAGATACAGGCATGTTTTTCCACACCCTCATTTGGCAACAGAAGGAAATATGAGATATGAATAATGTCTCCCAGTCACCACGGGTGTTCAGAACATTTCCCAAGAATTACACAGTATTTTAGAAAATTGCCGACCAGATATTTTAGCATTTTCACATCTGGTGTCACCACCCAGTTACGGCCTCTCCAGACCATTGTTCTTGGTTTGGTTTCTGCGGTCGTTATTCTGCTTATGTGACCTTTGTCGTTTGGAAATGAACTTGTTTGCTGTCTTGCAGTGCGTGACTTAAGAAGATTGATACCACACTTGTTCCTGTGCTGTAAACATGAAGCTGTGTACTGTGCTTTGCTTGTTTAACCCTTAGAGAAACAAATTATTGTCATTATCAAATCATTTTGAGATCATTTTCTTGATTGTCTGATTCATCTTTTGGTCTTTAAGATGTCAGCAAATGTTAAAAAAAAAAAAAAAGCTTTTGCTGGTCCCCAAAGTCCAAGCTAACTTCTTCATACCACTTGTTTAATTTAATCAACATCCCAAAAGCCGAAGATGTTCAGATGTAAAACCTGAAAATATTCACATATGTGCAGTTGGAAACTGAATTGTTATTCCACAGTTACATAAACTATTTTGCTCGCTATTTATCAAAGGATTTTAGAGGTAATGAGACTATTTCTTGTCTAAAAGCAGAAATGTTTCTGCTCAACAAACTGAGTTAACACAAGAGTTTGCATCCATTTTTTTGAGTTATGACAACTTTTAATAAAATTATGTTCAACCAGCTAACTATATCGAGTTAGAACAGGGGTCTCCAATCCTGGTCCCTGCATGTTTTAGATGTTTCTCTCTTCCAGCACACCTGATTCAAATGATCAGGATCATTATCAGGCTTCTGCAGAGCTTGATGATGAGCTGATCATTTGAATCAGGTGTGTTGGAAGAGAGAAACATCTAAAACATGCAGGACTGTGGCCCTCAAGGACCAGGATTGGACACCCCTGAGTTAGAAGAATTAACTTTTACTCTTCAATCAAAGGTATTCTCAATTACTTAATTACTGGTAGCAAAAACCCAAGTTTTTAAGGTAATTAGTCATAAAAAAATTAAGTTATTCCAGCTAGTATTTAATTGTTATGTACTTTACTACTGTATTTGTTAACATGAGTTTTAAGTTGACAGATTTTTTTTTTTTAAAGTTGCTCCTGACCTCAAGGTGAAAAGAAATTTAGTGATCAAGCCAATTACATGAAGTTACTTCAACTTAAATTTAGTTGGTAATCAACTGATGCAGAACCTCAAGTTTAAAGTATGCACAATATTAAGTTGATGCAACTACCACCCTTTAAACCCAACCCTTTAAAATAATGTTTGCATTTTTACGTAGATCAATACATTCTAATTTTTATCATTTGTACCCATTTATATTTACTTTTTGGACAGTGTAAGGCTAGAAACGGTGGAAACTCCAGAAAGTAACGGCTCCCAGCCAGGAATTAGTTTGTCTGACCCCTAAATAAACCGAAATGCTTAATTTGGAAGAGAAGCTGGAAAGGTGGATTTTGTCTCTTTTACACAGAGCTCGACTGGCTGTTTCTTCACTTCCAGGCTTTATGCTAAGCTAAGCTAAGCTAACCAACTGCTAGCTGTAGTTTCATGTTTATTGTACAGATATGAGAAAAGAGTTGAACTTGAACCTCGATGAATTGCTAGAATGTCAGGCTACTCCTTTAAGGACAGGCAACGCTGCATTGTGAGAAGAAAATGTGTTTTTTAGACAAAGTGCGAACTGTCCCTTTAGCCAATCTCTCATTTACTTATTGGCAAAAGGCAAAGCAGAAACTAGAAATGACCCGTGTGAATAAAGTCGTCCAAACCTGACACCTTATCCCACTTTAAAACATCCAAACATCTGTTCATTAGCCTGCTGAGAGATTTAGAGTCAGTGCGTAGATAATCCTTCTTCACGCTGATGGGATGGGAGCATAAGGGAGCCACAACGTCTCCAAAAACAAACATGGAGAACTTTTAATGAAAAAGTGGATTCTGAGGAGACCCGGAGTTCAAGCCATGTTTCACTCTGACTGATTTGATTCTACAGCTGCACACAGCTCTCCTTTTTATCCGTCACCATATTTCAAGTTATAGTAAACTTTTAAAACACAAAAAAAAAACCCAAAGCTGCTCACCAATACGAGTTCATCTCCTTTGAGTTCTCGGCTCCAGAAGGTCTTCGGTCCGTTGCCGCTCACAAGAGTCTGTTTGCAGTAAATCTTGTTTTCTGTTTCCCAAGTGGCCAAACTCTGTAGAGAAGCAGCACTTGAATGAAGCTTCACCTGGCCGTCGGCAGTAAAGCAAAGTGATGGATGTGAGATCTGTGTGTTTATCGCTGTGTCACGCCGGTTTTTAATGGAGTCTTGCATGTTTTAGCCATTTTGTTACTGCTGACTTTCAACTTTAAAACAATGAAGTATGTAGATTTTTTAGTAGCCACTGGTTTTGCAGATTTGAATGTTTTTTGAGACAGTTAATCTGGTTTTTAATGGTTATAGCTCATGGCATGACAACAATAAGTTAAGAACATTTTTTTAGGGTATGTATTCAGACAGGGACGTAGGTTTAACTTTAAGTAGGGAGCATCGGATCCTTAATTTCTTGGATTTGACAAACCTTCATCCGACAATTTGTGACTACACCTGTGTGTTCAGGTGATTTTATTAATACTGGAAGCTACCAAACTTTACATAGTCCTAAAACGTTCACATGTTCTTATCCGTAGATATCATAAATACCCAGAAATGCTTAAAAATAACAATTCAGATTTATGCACATTCATTGAATGTTGATTTTAAAAAATGGACAAAGCCATGTCAAGTTTTGAATTAGGCCGAATTTCACCATCTTGGTCTTTTAAAACTTGAAGCAACAAAAATACAATGTGAGAACACACTGCACACTCATGATAGCAATATGTCATTTGTGTCCTAAAATACACCCTGTTTCATCGTCTACTTCCTCTAAATGGGATCGTAAATTACTAAATAAACTTAAAATTATGTATTGAAGGAGGCTTTATATTAATGGTTAAGACCATAAACTCATTAGAAAAATGTTTGCTTAGGTAGCAAATCAAGTGAGAAATAGACTAATTTTCTCATAGACTTCTACATAATCTGACTTCTTTTTGAAACCAGAAGAGTCGCCCCCTGCTGGCCGTTAGACAGAATGCAGTTTAAGTCACTTCACTTCTCAAACTCGGAGGTTACGTCTGTCTTTCACATACAATCTACGTACACACAACCAGGTAATTCAGTTACCTTACACTTTCTTCCATCCACCGTCTCCTCGTTGAACTCCTCGCCGATGACGAAGTTGATCTCGGTGGTTCGGACCGTGGTGGAAGTCTTGATGTAGAAGTGCTCGCCGTTCTGTTTTATTTCCACGTGAGGCTTGGATGCAGCTGCCACCGCTACCTTCCTGAGCATGGCGTTCACACCTGAAAGCACATGCAAAACTCAAGTTGGGCTGAGGATAAAATTCACACAACCACGAGGAAAGAATTTTCACTTCCCATCCATCACCACTAAACATAAGACCTGCTGTCTCTATATTTTATAGTCTGACATTGAGTTGTGTCACCTCACATTTTTTTCTGTCTGGCGCCAAAAAGAAGAAGAAAAGAAAAGAGTTCATGTTTCAGAGATGAAGGTAGAGTCATGCCACAGGAGATATTACAGTGTGAAGCTGTTGGTTTTTTACATTTTTACAGACGGATCCTCCGGCAGCTGTAACTGAGATTGTTATCAGCAGATGTTGCAAATATGGAGGTTCGCAGTGACAAGGTGATGAGAGGGAGGAATGTTGACGCCGTTTGCTTTGTTTAGCTCTCCTGTAGACGTGATAGATTCTGTCCTTGAACGAGTGGAAAAACTATCAACCTTCTCTGTGTCACAGTCTGCAAACAATCACAGTCTGGTTCCACTATTAAGATGAGATTGTGATCTTGTGCTGAAATTAAAACCAGTTGTTTTAGAGCTGAATTTGTCTCCTTATGCCTCAAACTACAGCAAGAACTTGCCATTGTGGAGCTAAAATTAGAGATATTAGACTGGTGGATAATCAAGTATATTTCTATTAATTTGAACAAATGTTAAAGTCTCTAATTTGCAGCTCAAGTGTGATGCATTTTTTTTAAATCACAGAACTGCTCAGTTAACACCAGTTTAACTCTGCATGCATTTCAAAGTCCAGGGATGGTTGTCTACAGTACAGATTGAGTCATATTCATTTCATGTTCACTCACTGGATCAAAACACAACATTCATATTAAAAAAAAGATTAAATTCTTCCTACCCAGAGCTTTGAGCAGCTCGTCGAAATTCTCGCTGCATTTCATTTTCCAGGTGCCCGCAAAATTCGGCATTTTCTCTTGTGGGGTCTTGATTGTGTGTCAGCCAACGCCTCCTGTCGTCTGTCTCCTCGGCTGCCTTTCTTCAGGCTCTTTCTCCCTCCGTCCATCCTCCTTCCTCCCTCCTCCTCCCTCCGTCTCTCCTCCCAGTGTGTAATGATCCCACACGGCAGACCGAATCCCCCCTCAGCGCTCACATTCACAGACCGCTTCTGGACGGTTTTCTCTTTAAATGAGCTGGAAGGTCTCCTTATCTGCAGCCTCAGGAATATGTTCAAAATCTGACTTTTTCCTCTACATTTCTCACAGGGGTGAGCCTTTTCAGGGTTGTGTAAAGTGTTAAATCCATTTTAAAGGATGAGTTTCTGTTCCTCTGACCTCAGTTGGTCTAGTCACGCAGACACTTTGGGGTTTTTGGTCCAGCGTCTGACAGTTTTATAGGCATTTTGTTTTGTTAAAGTTGTTCCGGTTGTGGTGACCTGGTAGCCGAATGGTGAGGATTCAAACCACATTTTTGCACGCTGCATGGGGAGAACATATAAACTCCACGCAAAAAGATCCCAGGTGTCCTCACCGGGATGCGAACCAGCAACCTTTTGCTGCGAGGCGACGGTGCTAACCACCAAGCCACCTTGCAGCAGACCATGCATTGTACTATTATTTTTCAATATAGTCCCCATTTACCTCAATGCACCGAGCCCACTGTTCCTTCAGACTGTCTACACCTTTAAAACAGAAGCCTTCAGTTTGGTTCTCCAACCATGTCTCTGTGGCAGCCTTGAGCTCATCCTCATCAGGAAATCAGGTGATGTGATTTCAAACTTCTAAACAGGTGACAATGACTGGGGCCAGATCTGAACTGGAGGCAGGACTATCATCACCATATACCTCAGCCAGTCTTTTATAAGGAACTTTATTACTGCCCTAAACTCAAAATGTTGGTTTTCCATCATTGCTTGATGTCATCAACTTAGAACATCTCTGAGGATCACACAAATGTGCTGTGACAAGTCAACTTGATATGTTTGAACTAGTGAGATGTTGTGTTGTCTAGATATGTAAAGACATTTTGTGTTATGCTGGGCTGAATACCCTGTTCTAAGAACTTCTTGACCCCCCTTGTAACTGAGGATCTGGAGCTGCGTGTTTCTGATCAGACAGTTTGTGGTGTCACCAACCTCCATAGTGTTTGTTATTCTCTCAAGTATTATATTATATGTGCTGTTCTATTCTCTCTCCCCTTTATCCTCACCCCAACCAGTCGAGGTAGACGCCCGTCCTCACTCAGCCTGGTTCTGCTGGAGGATTTTTTCTTGTTTTTTCCAGTAAAAGGGAATTTATTTTCTTCCCACTGTTGCCCTGTTCTTGGTCAAAGACAACACAAAGGAAACAATAGATTTGTTGGGTTTCTCTGGTGTCTTCACCTTACTATGGGAAGTGCCTTGAGATAGCATCTGCGGTAAATTGGCGCTATATAAATGAAATTCAACTGAACAAAAAAATAAATATTTCCTGTCGATTTTCACTGCCACAATGAGATAGACCTTTACAAAAGTCCAAAAACAAATTTTAAAAAGGGTATTTCTGATTTAAACGGTCTGCAACATTAATAGTGAAACTGTGTTGCCACTTTTTTAAGTAGTTTCTGAAGAGTTTGAACACCACAAATAAGAATCCATTCACCTCCATTGCAGCTAGTTCAGGAACAAGCTTTATGTTGGCATACATTTCCTCAGGTTTGGAGCGTATAAAACCACATTTATCCGCATGGCTAGATTTTATTGTTTGTTTATTTTTGTCCGTGTGTACACTCAGACAGTTTTCTGGTCTTCATGTCTGGCCTTGCTTGAGTTTGTTGAAGACAAACATCTCCACTCTCATCCAAAAGGCTTCTTCATCTCTAAGTGACTTGTGGGGAGTCGCAGGTAATAAAATATACCGAATCTATCAAAACTGATCATTTTCACTATTCCCTTGAAACTGTAGCACTTTCTAGGTGTCATTCAGATTAATGAAACATCATGTTGGCTTCAGCTGAACTGTAGAATATATTTTTACGCATGAAATGAGGACCGTGAATTTTTGTTCCCCATTAGTTTTACATACATAGAAACCACATCAGGAGAAGATTACATCAACGCCAGTATGAGGAAGAAGAACAACTAACCAAAAGCTGTTTCAGTGCACATCTGGACTTGCTATCTTTAAGAAACTGCCAAAATCACACCATTTATCAGAGCCAGAAACTGTAAAAACAGAAGGAATCATCAGATATTTTTACTTTCAGACAGTTCTTGAAATGTTTGTTCATGATGTGTTGTCCTGTGGAAGAACTTGATCAAATCTAAACCTAGAATTGGGATGTATCGCTAAAATCATCTCATTCTACACACTTTAAGCATGTGTCAAAAGTAGTGTTTGCATTGACCATAAACAGTAAGAGACTAATTATTTTGTGCTCCTTGATGCAACTGAGAAGCTTTAATAGACTCATCAACAACATGACTAAAATCCAGTGACTTGGCTGAACTGCAGGCTGTGTTTATCCAGAGTAGATAGAAGACAAGGATAGAAACACATTAAAACTATAAGATTGAAATATCTTTAGTTTCTAAAGTCACTGTTTATTTCAACTATTGGCAACACCTGTCAGAAGAATGTCGCACATGTTGAGTTCAGGGTTTTGTTTCTCAGTTTTTTTTTAAAGAAATTAAACTTTCATTTCTTCTTGTAATGATTGATGGCATTGAAAGTGTGTCTTGCTACACAGAACACATGTTTGAGTCCTCTCCACTTGTAGCCATGGCTGTGCTGTTTCTATAGAGGTGCAGGACTTTATATTGCAGTGAAAAATGAGCCCACAGTGACAGAAGAAAAAAAAAAAGCCCAGAAACTGCTTCAGAGTTCAGAGGGCTAAAGATGAAATATTTGAGAAAATCCACAATAAATTTCCACCAAACTTCAGTTTCATCATTTCCCCGATACTAAAGATGAGATATCAGCATTAATAATGGAGCGCCTTCCTAATATCTCGTGTCTCTCTGCAGCTTTTCAAACCTCAACCTCCAGTTGCACCTCCGATCTCTCAGCTACCTCCATTACATCCCCTGAGAGCGAGGGGCCCTTCCTCTAACCCCGGCCCAGTCAGATTTGTTCCCTTTCCGACAGCTCCTCATCCATCTTTTTGACAAAGTGCCTTCCAGACGCGGCTTGATAATGAATGTATAGAGCAGAGCGGGGAGCACTCAGTCATCCCACCAGGAAACGTCAGCTCAGACAGAGAGGCCTGGGCCGTCCTCAGCAGGCCTCCTTGTTTGTTTCATTCACGAGTAGATTTGTCTGGTGGTCTGCGGGCGGTTTTACTTCCAAAAGGGGAAAGTGAATGTTAGCGTAGAGGGACAGTTTGAGGATGTGTGGAGGGAAAAATGCGAGCTGTGTAAGCGTCATCTGCTGCCATCTGTTGCCCAGTTCATGACAATTTAGATTTTCAACATTCGTGTTGACGTTTTTCTCACTTTTATTGGTTTAATCTGACTTTAAAATGCCTGTTTTAAAGGGGTGGAATTAATTAGTTCTTCAGTAACATCTCCACAAAAGGAAATAAGTGTTTTATGAGTGTTGTTGCACAGTTGAGAACAGTCAATCTGCATTTCACTGCACGTACTGTTAGAACGTGTGACAAATTAAGAAATCTTGAATCTTGAAATCATTTTTAATGTTTAAAGTCTTTTGTGATACATCCCAATTTTATATAATCACTTTCATCTTTAAATTGCACAGTGATTCTGACGATTAAAATCCAACGAAGCAGTGTGATTGAGCCACGTGGGCTTCCCTCAGTAGATGCTTTCATGTCATTATCTAACCAACATAATGAGATATGACCTCTGGTGTCAGAGCGTCACCTTCGGTAAGATGTATGGTCGCCCCACGGTTATGAGAACATAAAGGAAACGCATTAACTCCTCCGGCAACAGAATCACATTTTCCCCTCTGAACTGCACAACAAACTCCCCGAGGACAATATAGGAATGCTCAATATTGACGTGTTTTTCCCCTAAATGTTGCGGCAAATTTGAGATTGCACAAAACCTCTTTCTACATACGTGCTGCTAAATCTGCATGTAGTGTTCTTGTGTGGGTCATAGATTCTTCATTACAGATGTTAAAGTATTTGTTCTCAACAGCTGATAAAGTCAGATCTCCACTATAATGTTAGTTTTAAATATGAAAATCTACTATTTCACTGTGCACTTTATTATGTAACAGAATGAATCATCCAGTATATACTTTGTGCACAAGTATTGGGCCAAATGTGTTCCTCAGGATTCATTTTATAGTTGTACAAACACAATGCTGTTAGTCAAAAAAAAAAATGTACTGAAACCTGCAAAAACAGAAGAACAGAAAGTTTTTTCCTCTTCAGAATGTATAAACGGATGAGCCAAAACATTAAAACCACTGACAGATGAAGTGAATAACGGTGATATTCTCGTTGCCGTGGCTCCCTACAGTAGGTGGGGTAGCAGCAGGTCAACAATCAGTTCCTGAGGTTTTTTGTGTTGAAAGCAGAAAAAAATGGCCAGTCTGAGGATCTGAGAGACTGACAAACTGTGATGGCGACACGATTGAGCATCTCCAGTGGTCAAAAGGAAGGAGAACCAGGGAGTCGGTAACAGGGTGACGGGTGATGGGCGACTGGAACGGAGGCTGGCCCATGTTGTCTGATCCCAGAGAGGAGCTACTGTAGCACCAATTGCACAAAAACCCTTACAGCTGCTGTGATGGAAACTGTGTCAGAAGTCACAGAGCGTCACAGAGCATGGCAGCTTGTCCTCTGATGACCACCAGAAGGATCAACAATGAGCCTGTCAGTGTCAGACCTGGACCATGGAGTGATGGAAGAAGGTGGCCTGAACTGATTAATCCGGTTTTCTTTTACATTATGTGAAGAACAGCATGTGTTGTTTATGTGGAGAAGAGATGGCAGAAGGATGCACTATGGGAAGAGGCAGAGTGAGGCTCTGAGCAAAGTTCACGTAGATCAGGGGTGTCGAAATCCGGTCCTCGAGGGCCGCAATCCTGCATGTTTTAGATGTTTCCTTCTTCCAACACACCTGATTCAAATGATCAGGATCGTTATCAGGCTTCTGCAGAGCTTGATGATGAGCTGATCATTTGAATCAGGTGTGTTGGAAGAAGGAAACATCTAAAAACATGCAGGACTGTGGCCTTCAAGGACCGCAGTTTGACACCCCTGATGTAGATGTTAGTTTGACACCTAAACACTGTTACAGACCACGTCCATCCTTTGATGGTACGACTCCTCTCTGCAGGATAATTCTCCCTGCCACACTGCAAACCGTTCAGAGACGATTTGAGGAGTTCAAGCTGTTGACTCAGCCTCAACTCTAATTGAGCATCAGTAGGATCTGCTGCAAAATCAAATCTGACCCATGCAGGCTCCACTTCACAACAACTAAAGGATCCACTGCTGGCGCCTTTGTACCTGAAACCAGAGGACACCTTCAGAGGTCTGTGGAGTCCAGACTGGAGCTGTTTTGGTGCCACACATTATCAGGTAGGTGGTTTTATTATTCTGGCAAATTTGCATATGTAGGTTATCATATACTTCACTGTACATATATAATTAACAGGAAATTAAAGATATTTGTTGTAGTTTTTCCAGCTGCATGTCATTCATTGCATATCTTTAAGTTTTCAAAATGTAAGTAATTGCAATTAATTTTAGAGTTTTTTTTTTTTAAAACAAACATCCTCTAATGTGCTAAGATTAGACTCAAATAGTGAAAAATGCCTCAAAAACACCTGTGCACCTTAGCTCATGCTCATTTTCAATGCACATTTCTTGAGCCAAATTTCACCTTTAAAGAGAAACCTTGAAAAGACCACAGAGCGTGTTTCAGCAGGACATCTGCTAATGACTTTCCAGACCGACTAAAGTCCAGGACCCTGAGCTTTGTTTAGCAGTTGTGATGTTTTATTGACCTGAAGACACACTGAAGCAACACGACGTCAAACCACATGGATTCTGCATGACAGTGGAGTTCTGACCGACAACAGAAAACTGCTCACTGACAACATAATCACACATGAGGGGGAAAGTAAAAGCTGTGCAGAGAAAAATCAGGAGTGTCGTCTGCAGGTTTTAGTTGAGTTAGTTTCAGAGTTCAACAGGTCACATCTTAGCGTGACCTGAGCAAATAAGATCAGAAAACAAGAGCAGCTACGGCTTCATCTATAAGAACTTTCAGATTCAGGAATTGGTCTCCACTCAAACTAAAACCATCTGTAATATTTATGCTTTTCCTGTGTTAAAAATGTCAACAACAGAAGTGACAACAGCTAGTGTTAAATCATATAAAAATATGACCGCTTCTACAAACCGGCCATATCTGACTACTAAAAATAGAATTTCTTGTTTTTATTGATTACCTTCCCTAAAGAGTCAATAAAACATTCATACAAAAGCAACACAAATAAACAAGACAATGTGAAATTTTGCAAGTCTGGACACTCGTGATCCCCCCAAAACGAAATCAAGAAAGTCCCCAGAACAAAAAGAAATAAATTAGATAAAACAAGCTCTTTTAAGACATGTTATTTACACAACTTACCGGGAATTTACAATCACATTTTGTGCTGAAAAGGATAAAACATTTACATTATTGCACTCAAACACACACTGTCACAAGATGGGAAACGGTTTTAGTCCTGTTTACTGCCCTTCAGTCACCGTTCCAGCAAAATGGAAATAAGTCACATCTTCCTCACCGTCTTGTTAGTTACAAACAAACCAAATCAGCCATTTTTTTCAAACTACTTCAAACACTAACATGTTTCCTAAAATGCCAAAAAAAGAGACTAGTGTGTCAGCAAACTGCAGAGAAAGTATTGTATCCTGTGTGTAATGTGTTGCATGGAATTTGTAAGTATAAGGACAACTTTAAATCAACATAAAATCTGCCATCTAACACCTACTACTGTTCTTCTCACGCAACATTTAGCAATTAAGAACAAAAAGCGGATTGTTTGCCTTGATTTCTCTACGACGAAGGCAGCGTTTAAATTTTAAAAAAAGGCCAACAGAAAGGAACTGCAGAACGGACTTGGAGTTTGGCGAAGGGAAGAGGATAAATATTTGTTTACTGCTCATGAGTGAGTGCGTCGTCTTCAGTTGTTCCTCTCAAACCTGATTAAAACTCTTCTGGGCTTTGGTAGGACAACGCAGGTACCTTCAGTAACCACTTGGCTCTGTCAGCGATTATTTTCTTCACTGAAATGACGCTCTGATGACCCGATGTATATAGAAAATTCAGTCCGGTTGCATCAACTTGTCTGCATCTTCCACAATATTGCATTCACCACCTTAATATGCACTAAACAGCAGCAACACATACAAACTACAAACCTGCTCACTGGTTTTAATGAGCCGCTTTGTTCGTAATACGTTGGTTTAAGTGTTAAAATACAGATTTAAACTTGTACATAAAGTAGTTGCTCCACATTGTTTCCTAGGCTGTTTTATACATATTCAAAACAAACCCTTTCTTTCTTCCAGTGTTTTCATTTAGGGGCTAAAAATGGCACGTGGTCCATAAATTCTCTGTTGAGGTTTTTTCTCTACCAGTGCCTCGAATCCACCAGCTCTGGTCTCAAACTCAGTTTCTTTAGCGTCTCGTAGCCGACCACCATGACGATGGCGGTGGGCGTGGATGAAATAATGCGTGCCGACAGCCCTTTGGTCAAACCCCAGACGCCCTCCTCTCTGATCAGCTGCCTGAACGTCTCGATGACCGAGGTCCTCCCTTCAACCTGAACAAAACACACAGTGCATGTTGTGTTACCATTTGGAAACACAAACCAGCATCACAGCGTAGCTTACAGCTGCTTAATCCGCTGAATTATTTGTGATTGAATCGAATTCTGTTTTCAGAATACAATAGAAAGTCTTGATGGTCAGTGCACTGAGCAAAATACAACAAAATAACAAATACATTAAGACACATGCACACGAAAAGCAGCCTTTAAAAAAACCCACAAAAGTAAAAAAATAAAGAGTTAAAAAAAACTAAATCTAACACTAGAGGTTGCAGTGGCTTCTGTACGGATGCTGATTGTTGTTATTTGTAATTATTTTACTAGAGATATATGTAAATATTGCACAGGTTTGAATGAAACATAATGCACAAGAATAAAGGGGGGAAAAAATAGTGCAGATTACTGTTTTGAGTAACAAAGTATGTTTCTGTCTTTCTGTTTCTTGCAGAAGAAAATTAAATAAAATTGTAAATTGTCTCCAAAATTATATACATTTTGAGTTTATTTGTTGGCCTTGTCACGCTTTCTTTGTTTAACTTGATCTTGAACTGCGAATACAAACGTTGGACCAAAACTGGAAACTAAATTTGGTTGCTCTTGATTATATGTAAACTTTGTTGTAACATTTCGGATGAACAAAGAGAAAATCTATTCTTGTTAAAGCTTCAGGACATGTTCCTATCAGTTACTACCTTCTTCATTATCTGTTGTTCATTGTTGTGGCTTCATCCTCTTCAATGAATAACTTGTGGTGTTTTTTTCTTGTGCAGAACTCGTCAACAGACCACAACTTTACTTAACCGGATTGTGGTAACATGAGACCTTACACACACATACAAGTAAAGCTGATCAATTATTAACCTTTATTGTGTCAGTTGTTTTAAAAAAATGGAACAAAGTGTAATTGACGTTTCTGCCAGATTTCTCCAAACCAAATAAATAATAAACATTTCTAGTGCTTTGTGTATCATAAACTACCTGCTATTTCTGTGCTATAAGTGGACAATTTCACACAGCAGCACCAAACAACCACATTGTGCCTGTGTTTCTGTATAAATCATGGTTACCTGTACTCTGGCTCTGACCACATCCATCGGGTTGGTCACAGTTGAGGCAGTGGCAGCAGCTAGAGGTCCAGCCATGGCTTGTAGGATCAGATGAGGACAGTCACTGGGAGCCATTTTGGAGAGTTGCTCTGTAGAACATTAAACAAAGAGTTTATTAACCACAAGGAAACATAGATGGGCACAAATGTGTTAAAACACAACCTCAAGTTCTTTTGAGAAAATATAGTGAATGTGTTTTTTTTTAAAATTACAATTCAGAAAACATCATCTCAAGCTGCTTACCAGCATAAAAGTGATAGAAAGGCCACCAGACTGCACTGTTTGGGATGTAAGTGAGTAACGAAGCCACGTATCCCCTGTAGAAGCCCCGGAAGCCGTCAGCAGCAAAAATCTGAGCCATAATGTTCCTGGTTTGGCCGAACACCTTCTTTTTAGGCTTTCCACCCTCAGTGTCAGAACCGAGCCGAAAGCGGGTGAGGTGCTGCCCTTGGCCCTGCATCATCAGCTGCTGAGACACAACGTCTATGGGGACAGTGATGCTCTGAGCGACCAGCGACGCCGAGCCGCCCGCCACCAGCGACTTCACCGTATTGTCCTCAGAATACTGGGAAACGTACTTCCTCACCAGCTCGTAGGTGGTGATGTACGCCTGGCCTGAGATGAGCGTGAAGGTGTTGACCATGAAGCCCCGGTAAAGGCCTCGGACACCTTCCGCCCGCAGGATCTTGAAGAAGGCATCAAATGTGCCGCTGTAGAGTGACTTCCCCCTCTGCACCTGCAGCCGAGTGCGGATCAGCGTGGCCGGGTAGACGGTGGCCCGGATGGTCATCGTCATGAACACCCCGAAAGAGTAGAACTTCCTTTTGTCGAGGTCCTCCCACTCGATGATCTGGATGTTCCTTTTCTGCTGCATCCTGCCAGCTGTAGGTGCCCCGTCATCAGAATGATTCCTGCCTGGCAGCATGAACAACAATGACAACAGTGCAGTGAGTAAAGGAGTCTTAAATAAACATCAAATGTCAGTGTTGACCTCAGATGTTACAGTTTGATATACGCACTACATAGAAATAAGCACAAAAGCTCCAGGAAATAGGGTACTAAGTGAATGCTGAATTAAGATTATGTAGATTTTCATAAACAAGCTTTTGCTGATTTACGTTTGATGCAGAGAGAGTAAACAGAGTAAATACCTAAACATCCAGAGCAAAAATATAAACATGGAGTGTATCCTATCAAATTCTATTCATTCTTTTAAACATAGGGGAACAAGTATTTCTTGTTCCACTACACCTATATACATAATGTTCCTCTACAACAGAACAGACATAATGAAGCACACAGTGCAGATGGGGAGTGGGGTCGTAGACCAGAAATCGCAAAGTACAAATCAGTGCATCCACTGTTTGCTGCACATCTATGACACAGAGTTAATAAGGTTGTCGATTCTGGCTTGTCGACAGTTGTCCCACTCTTCTTGAGTTCATGGACATCCTGAGGGACAGGATCACGTTGTCCATCCAGAGCTGTCTGAAATGATTTCTTAGATGACAAATGGTGAAGCTGGGAACATTCAGTGCCCAGTCAAAATGAACATCCAGTGTGCCAACAGTCCAACCTTCTCTTTCTCTTGTCATCTGTGGCAACGTGTCATTTCAATAAAGCTGCTTGTTAAGGTGTCCTTTCATAGTCACTGGTCAGAGGAGCGTCTCCGGTTGAACAGGCTCAACAATTTTTGAGATTTTTAACTTATTCTCTAAGTCAGAAAAGAAGAACATTTGCATGCTGTGTTTAGATTATATATGTCAGGACAATTTTAATCACCTGTCTTTTAAAACCTCTAAAAGCAGCTGTTTAAACAAATATTTCACATCTATGCCATCACTGTGACAATCAGAATACTCTGCCCTGTGGATAAAATCCTCCCTGCAGTCCTGATGACTGTATACTATCTAAATACTACACTGATACATACACACATCTTGGAAAACATTAGTAAGCAATGGCCTCCAGTGACGACAATACATATGATGTGTTTCCATCTTTAAGATAAGGAAAGATAAGATAAGCCTTGTTTTATCTCACCGTGAGGAAATCTGCAGCGTTACAGCAGCAAAGCAGATATTAACAAATATATTATGACATCAGTAGAAAAATAAACAAGAAATATACATAAGTACTGATACTGTACAGATTACTCTATATGTACAAATCCAGATATCGCACAGATTTCTTTGAATGTGGAAAACATGTTTACAGAATCATTTTATATGTAGAAAGACACCAGTATGGTAAGAATTATTTTACAAATAGAGCAATGCTAATGTTTGAAATACTGATATCACACAGATTACTCAATGTGTAGTAAGAAATTGTACTGCACAGGGTATTTTAAATGTACAAAGTATTTATAACAGACAGGTTTAAATGCATTAATGTTTCACCAGAGTGAAGACTGACTGTTCTCTATGTGTGGAGCAGTGCTGGTTGTGAAGTATAACATCTATGATCTGTCTTTAGTGTAAAAAGAAAAACAAAACCCACATGCGGTAATTCATTGATACTGGGCTAAACTATTACTTCTCCTTGAGCAGCAGTGTTTCACTTTACCTCCAGTCATCGATGAAAAAGAGTTCAAGGGTCAAGCAGCCACACACGTTAGCAGGCTAAAGCTAACTCATCGATCGACAGAAACAAGGAGCTTTGACAAAAACACCGAGTCACGTCGCTGTTATGACTGTGTTTTTACAAGTGTCGCCTTTCAAAAGCAGCTAACAGCTAAACACCAGCACTCCAGAGTGCAGCTGACCCCGGTGTCAGAGGACACCGTGTTCCCGAGCCGGTGTCAAACCACCTCACAGCTACATAAGTGGTCGTATTTTAGTTAATGACATTGAATAAACCTGACAAAGTAAGTGAAATGCTCACAGGCGAGGTGTTTTATATGATTTTCCAGCTGTCACCTCCTGGATAAGTGTCGTTAGCTAACCTGTGTTAGCTTGTATTAAGCTAGCTCTAAGGTAAACAGCGTTAGCATTGGTTTAACATAAACTAGAGTAGCTGGCACTTACCTCTTCGGACAGATGTTTATTTCAATGTCATGTCCTAAATGAAATCCTGGCGTGAAACCTCGTTTCAACAGCTGGAAACATGTACTTCTAACTGGCGTCGTTAGGTGGCTTCAAGACCTTAAATTATGAAGTTAGCCCCCTCCTGGCTAGTCGGCTAACTGTCAGATGTCTTCCTGCTCCCATTCAAACGCCATGCTGCTGTAACAGCCAATCGCAGGCGGTGTTTCTTCTTCGTCCCCTTTAATTTTGCACTTCAGGAAGCCTTCGGTGACTCGTTACTGTCGACCACCAGAGCTGGAGGAATACGTATCGACGTTTAACGAACTGCGAGACAGCTACAACTTTTCAGTTGCCACATTGCAGGAGATAAGAAAGTTAAAAAGGTAAATAATTCAAGTGCAGTTTTGAATTTGTCTTCGTACTTTGACCGAGCCCAGTTTCTTACATGTAGCCTGTAACTATGTTTGCTACATTAGCCGTGTAAGCTAATCTATGGTTATTTTCTTGGACTTTGTGTTGCATCTGTAAGATGTCCAAAGAAGGATAAATCCAGTTAGCGCTTTAACTATTAATCGATAAGTTGCCAACTTTTAAATCAATCAGCAACTCACCAAACAAAAAAAAAAACAGCTAGTTTCAGCCTTAACAGTAAATGGCCAAACTCAAAAACAACCCAGGTGTGTCCCTGGGGCTTTACAATCTGTTTACACATTTTACCATCGTCTTCAGTTGTTTATGCTGATTACTAAATGCAATGAAGTCAGTATTTTTACACTTTAAAGTGTGGACATAGTATTTTAACAAACTAAACTGTAACTGAAGTGCAATTCACTACATAATAATCTATCAATTATATTTTCAGTCAAACACGTTTTTTAAAATGTCAGAAAATAGTAAAAAGAACAAACTGCAATTTTCTCTTGTTGAAGATGACATCCTCACATTGTCTTTTTGTTGTTGTTGTTTTGTCCAATTAACAGATCAAAACCTGTAGATATTCAAACAGAGAAAAGGGCAAACCAGAAGTTTGGCATTTGTACCTAATGGGTGATGATGATTGGTTTCTTATAAGTTATACGCTATTATCAGTTGATATTTTAATATTTAGTTCAGCTATAGATTGTCAGTGACAGAATGTGTCAGGAGAAAACAGCCCAGATCCCACCCAACTCTCAAGTTGGTTATGGCGACCAAAATTTAAAAAAAAAAAAAAAAAAAGACAAACACACAAAAAAAAATCCTATAAAATGAGAAAATAAGTGGAGGAATCGTGTGTTATCAGTAAGATGAAAAGAAGAAGAATTAAAATGTATGTCAACAAGACATTTTAGCAATAATTGACACATTGCAGTCTTTGTGAAATAAACTTTTATAACTTTGAAAAAGAATTTAATACAATTATTTAATTCTGTGGTGTAGCATTCATTAGAATTATGACTTAATTCACTCAAGTAGGTAAAGTTGTATCTTTTACAACGTACATTTATTGGATGTTGAAGTGTTTTTAATCTGTCAAAACACTGGGGACAGTATTACCAATAACTGCATATATAATGTTTATAAAAACTTTAAAGACTTGTGTTTATTTACTGTTCGCGTGTTATACGCTGTTCGGTCCTCCCGCCGAGCGGTGGCGCTGCTGAGCGGCTCCTTCACCGCCACCAGAGCCGGTGTGTTTGAGCGAAGAAACATAAAACTGAAAGTAGTGGATCTCTCAGCCTGGACGAAAGTACGCCAACTTAAATTCCCAAGGTACAATGATATAATTTATTACTTAATAATTTACTAGCTTAGCTTTTATTTTAACACAGTTTTTTTTTTTATTATTATTGTCGTTTGTTCTCGTCCAGCCAGCAGACTTTCTTTATTATGAACTAGCTAGCTGTATAGCATGCTAGCTAACTAGCATGCTGAGATATTGCAGATTCATTCTGTTGCAGCAGTTAGCTAGCTAGCTGTCAGACTATCAGAGCACATACTGTTTCTGTGGTCAACTTGTGTTTGGAGCTAATCTATGGGACAATACATTTTTGTATACTGAAAGGTGACATTTACTTCTTTTGTCCATGAAAACAGAACAGCGTCATTGTCAATGCAAACATACTTTCTTCTCCTTGTTGGTTCCTGGTTTCTGCTGGTTGCCCCTGTTGATAACTACTGTTGTTTTGTACTTTACAGGATATTTCCAGTGACGTAAGAAAATGGTTGGTTGCTGTTAAGATTCTTATAGACTTTACAAATTATTCAGGATGTTATTTTTGCATGTTTTGTCATCTGTAACCTGTTCTATTTTTAATAATTTGTTTGTGTTTAGTCTCGCAGATATGACTCCCGGACAACCATATTTTCTCCAGAAGGCAAGTGTTGTAACTTTATTAACACTTCATAATCAGATATTCACAAGATGCATCTTGTGTTGCCTGCACACTATTACTTTATTATGATTTTCTTTTCTTTTTTTTGCGTTATACTACACAGTTATCTTTTGCAGAAGCAACATTTTCAAATACAATGAATTTTAACTGGATTTTCCAGTAAGGTTTTGTGGTTTGATCAGTGCTTTCCCATGATTTTATGGTCCCACCAGTGACTTTGAAATGGAGAAAATTCACCACAACATAAAAATCTTTTGTTAGTAGTTGAATTAGAGTCTTTTTATATATTTAACCTCAGAGTGCCTCAGATACTCTTTGGACTGCCAAACAATACTAAAAACCTAAACCAGTACAAGATTTACTTACTAGTTGTAGACATCATTAGTGAAATTATTGTCAAATGTAGGTCTAAAATGTTGTGGATTGTTTAACAAAAACATCATCATATAATTTACAGGACGCCTGTATCAAGTGGAGTATGCGATGGAAGCCATCGGTCACGCTGGAACATGTCTGGGGATTCTAGCTAATGATGGAGTGCTGTTGGCAGCAGAGAGACGCAACATCCACAAACTGCTTGATGAGGTTTTCTTCTCTGAGAAGATCTACAAGCTCAATGAGTGAGTGAACTGAACTGCAGCTCCCATTCCTACAATAAAACTTAAAATGTTTTTTAAATCTAACATTGTGTGTGTGGTCTCATATGTGATTATCTTTGCAGAGACATGGCCTGCAGTGTTGCTGGGATCACATCAGATGCTAATGTACTGACAAATGAGCTGCGGCTAATTGCACAGAGGTAAGTTCCAGAGAAAAACCAGACAACCATTTCAACTTTATGGCTGTTCCAAAAAAAACATTTTTTAGTGTTTCTGGTATTTACCAGACAGTTTGTTCAATGAGTTTAGCAGAAATAGCAAATGTAATAGTATTTGCATCCTCAAAAGGATTGTACATGCATGTCATTTGTTCTATTCTACTCTATTGGTAACTGAAAAACGAGATAAAACTACCACAAAAAAGTAGAACATTTCATACAAACAAACAGGATTTTTTTTTTCTGTAGAGAAGCCTAAATATTTAGTTCCACTCGTACAAACTTTGAATTTGTTTAAGTCTCTCATCATTTAAATGATGTTGCCACCAGCCAAATGGTAATCTGAATTTCCCTAAATGTCTGTCCTTAGTTTGTAGCCATTTATCACATTTACCACCAACCACTGACATGTTTCATTTTCTCTTCAGGTACTTACTGCAGTACCAGGAGCCGATTCCCTGCGAGCAGCTGGTCACAGCCCTGTGTGACATTAAGCAAGCCTACACACAGTTTGGAGGTAAGATGCCCTGCGATCTCCTTGCATACTTTATTGCATTTATCCCTTCATGTTGCTGAAGGATTCCAGCATGTGAATCTCCTTTGGTGACAGCATATTGTCATTCTTAACATTTACAGTATGTTTGTTTAGACACATCCCCAAAGCACTTGATCAAATACCATAGTAGCAACCAAGCTACAAGTATTTTTATCTCTGTGGATTTTGACGTTGTGTAACAGTTGTGTGATTTGTCTTGACAGGAAAGAGGCCGTTTGGTGTTTCTCTGCTGTACATGGGCTGGGACAAACACTACGGCTTCCAGTTGTACCAGAGTGACCCCAGCGGCAACTATGGAGGCTGGAAGGCAACTTGTATCGGCAACAACAGCGCTGTAAGTCTAAAATGACACTGACAGTGAAAATCAGTCAGGTGATCTCAGTAGAAACAACAGGCAACAGTAGGAAATAATAAAAATGATTGCAGTCATCCTGAATGTGAAAAGCATGCAGGATACTTTCCTGAGTCACCTTTTTTTTTTTTTTAAATGTCTGGCTTCAGTGGTTTTGATCAGATAGAGGATGTAAAACTTTTGCCAGCACTGTTAGTTAACGATGTTTACTCTCATGTCAGCGGCAAAATACAATTCACTGCAATTTTCGGTTAAAATTTTCCGGCTGAAGCAAAAACATAATTTTAGCTGTACTCTTCCTATGCATGTTGTTTGATTTGTTGACTTGTTGGCCTCAGGCGGCAGTGTCCATGCTGAAGCAGGACTACAAAGAGGGAGAGATGACGCTGTCCTCGGCTCTGGCTTTGGCCGTCAAAGTCCTCAACAAAACAATGGATGTCAGCAAGCTCTCAGCAGAGAAAGGTGAGGTTCAAAAGGACTTTCCTCTTGTTTCTAATTCCTTTCATCTGCAGTGTAAATTAAAGTTGCTTATGACCTTCAGCAGCTCTGCCAAAATGGAAGTGCATGCATTGTTTTACTGCACCAAGTCTGGTATCATAAGTAACAGCAGTAAACTGTCTGAGAGTAGCACCAAATTATGGTTAAAGAGTTGAGTTATTATCTACACATCCATCAACACATACAGTAGCAGCTACTTAGTGACTAATGGACAGAATTTGTTTACTGTCTTTGTGCTAAAGGTCTTTTGGGCACACCAGCTTCCTGTATGTAATAACCCAACACTGTATCACATTGACTGTTTCAGTTGAAATCGCCACTCTGACGAGGGAAGACGGGAAAACAAAAATCAAGGTTCTGAAACTGAAAGAAGTGGAGGAGCTGATCAAGCGCCACGAGGCTGAAGAGGCCAAGGCTGAGAAGGACAAAAAGGAGAAGGAGCAGAAGGAGAAGGACAAATAAATCATCAAATCGTTATTTTTTCCTTTTGTGTCACCAAATCCTGTATTGTTTTGTCTTTTACATTAAACGTTTGGAAACTGATGGACGTGTTGTCATCTGTGTATTTAGCAAAAGGAACATCTTTTTGGTTACTCCTCAAAACACATTGTATACATTTGGTAAAGTAAAGATACTTTTTGAAGTCAGTAGAACAATAAACTGCAAAATCAAAACATCTGTCCTGACAAAAGAGTTCTCTGACTGAAAAGCAGGCACAGAGGCATTATCATGTGTTTATTTATTTTTTTAAAAATCGACTCAAATTAACATTTATAGACACATTGGTGCTTGCTAAATGGGGTATTTCTTTGTTTTGCCACATGGTGGAGTTGTCCGTCTTGTGGATGTACCTTCATCATAGAAGAACAAAATGTGTTTTACTGTAATTGCACAATTATCAATATATCAATGACAAGGGGAATTTTCCCTTAAAACAAAAAGAACAAACGTGTCACAGCAGACAAGTCGCAGAGACCAAAATCTTGGTCTCTGCGACTTGTCTGTAGTTAAAGCTATGCAGCTGTTGTGTTTTACATCTTGTAAGACAGAAACAATAAAGCTGTAAAGCAACAGCTGCAAACAAAACATTTAAAAATAAACTATTTGTTGTGGAAAAACTTGATTAAAGCAGCAAATTCTACATTTTGTTTTGGTTTAAATCACAATATCAACACTTTACCAGTCAGGATGGTTAAAATTGATTATTTAACGTCTTGTATAACCAGTTTTTCTGACTGTTAAATAATAAAAAGTTTGTTGTGCAACAGGCACAGTGAACATCACATCCTTCAGTCTCCTATCAGTGAGGGGATTTCCTGTGTCATGTGCTGTTTTTACCACTTGATGGCGATAGTGCTCACTCTTTCAATATATTAAGGTTGACATATTTCTGTTTCGCATTAGAAAAACATGCTTTTATCTCCAAATTATGCTCTGTTGTCACTATGAATCATGAAAAAAAAATAGCATGTTTTGGCTAAAGACCCTACAATCAAAGAACAAGAAATACTGAACACAGCTGATCAGTGCAAACACATTCACACGGTTACATGATGTAAAGACAAAAATACACCAGTTTCATGTTCATGTGTGGTGTTGTTTTTAATCCATAGAGTAGTTGTACATAAATCACATGTGCTCCTAAGTGATTACGTAACTCTTACGTCATTTTAAAGCTAAATTCTGCGTGTTCAGACACTCGGGAATGTTGGAGACGATGATTTAAACGTCATTTGTTGAGTCAAAGAACAGGTGGTGGATGTGACAGCAACTGAGTGTCTGTTTTATTGGTGTGCGATCAGTAATGGGCATTCAGTTACACACCATGTAGGTGGTCACGACTGGACTGAAACCAGCTGTTGGTAAAACTGGAGCACATGGCCACTGCAGGGGTGAGCTTGTAAAATGTGTATAACTAAAACCTCTGTGCTTTTAGAATTAGTTGTGTTCTTCAGCGTTGGTTATTGTAGAGGCCAGCAGACCAAAAGGCTTTATTAAACAAAACCTGTTCTTATCTAACCCTACTGTGTCTGTTAACTTAAGGATTTTTTACAATTTATTTAACTGCTTTGAAGAGACGTGAACATTATGTTGGCAGTTACTACTTATTATATTAAAAACTATAAATGAACGTAGACATTACTGAAACAGAGGACGCTGATTGGTTAATATGTTACTCCACAATCCTCCATGAGTCCAGTTTTGCAAATCAGCACCCTCCTGCACCCTAAAAACTCCAGATGTACCAGAAGAGACCCGTTTACCTGCAATTATCGCTCAGTAAAATCCAAACCTGCCCCAACCTTTTAATATAAAACCCATAATCCAACCTGTGATTTAACACAGTCTATACAGTCCCTTTAAAGTGCTTTAGTTTACCTGCACACTTCCATGAACTCAAATCATTATTAACCAGTTTGGCAGAATGAATAAACAGCTATTTTGCTACACATTATGTTGACATTTAATTGAAAATCCTCCACCATTCCTGGTTTAAGGTGGATTTCTGTTAATGAATCCCAAATTCAGCTGAACTAAGGAGTCTTTAACAATGTGCTCAGTCCCAGGATGACAATGACCTTCCTCCCAGTTGGTGCCAAGATGTGTTGTAGACTTGTATACGGCTGATATTTAGTTCGTTTTCACTTGTGAATTTAACTTTTTCTAAGACTCTGCACCAGAGCTTAAACAACATAATTCCAGCTACATGTTCAGTTACATTTTTCTTTACATTTTGTGTCGCTGCACAATAATCTTTCAAAGCCTTCCTCATCACCTGGACCTAACTCTGGTTGTGAATGGAAAATTAATTTGTTTTAAATTGACCTGTATGCCGATCAGCCACAAGGTCTGAGAGGACATCAGAGAGCTACAGGTGACGCAAGAAGGTTGCTGTAGATCTCTAATGTAGGCAGGAACCAGACCATGCAGGGATTTAAAAGTGATCACCAGAATCTTGAATTAAACTTTTGATTAATTGGGGAGACATTTTGAAGGCCTGGTCAAGAGATTAGCAACACTTTCAAGCTATTCAGGGGTGATTTGCTAAGACTAGCAAGTAAGGAATTACTGTAGTCATGAAAACTCATCTCCATCTCAGTCTTAGACACAAATAGACACGAACCTGACAGGATCCATGAGCTGGAAAACGCAGGAATAAATCAAACAAGGATTTGAGAAATGAAGATAATGAAACAAGGTCTCCTGCACCTTAGAGGTTAGTCAGAGTGTCTGTTTCTTTAAGATTATATTTTGCTATTTTAATTGAATTTACTCAGTCATGTGGTGGTTAAAGGAGACATAAAACTGAACAGCATCAGTTATACCTAAGATAATTTGATCGTAGATAAAATGGTGGAGTTACAAACACCAGCTCAACTGCTCCCAGTCTGTGCCAGTAGAGGTTGCTATAACAGCATGTTCCACTGCAGCCAACTGCTGGTGGCAGAATAACATGTCTGCCTTGATATAAACTAACTAACAATGAAAAAACACACATAAAATCACATTTCCTCTCCAGCTTTTCTTTCAACAGAGTCTGTAAGTGACGTCACCCCCATTAAATATATTTGAGCCACGTCCAACATAAAGACTCCCGAAACCAAAAACCTATTTTCATTTGATGCAAATCTTTTCGGTTCGGATCTTATATGGTCTAAAAATGTAAGTCAGCAGCGCTATTTCACTTAGAGGGCAGACGTAGTGAGGTCATGGTGTTCACATGAGCTCTCACAGCGATGAGTGGGAGGATTTTGGCATCTGAATGACTGGAGCTGCTCGCAGGCCTCCCCTCCTGAGTCCAAAACAGAGAGATGTCCGCTGACCTCCCTTCTTTTACCCTCTTGTAGTGTTAGAATTTAATTTCAATGCACACTTTTGAGACGTTTTCCAGCTCGCGTATCATTCCCCAGAACAACACGAGTGTATTAGGATGGCTCTGGACTGGTGCACTGAGGCCCAGCACTGTCCGCCGTGATGAGGCAGATAGGGAGAGGAGGGCAATCTGTTGCAGTGTAAACACAGCACCAGAAAAGCACTGGAATGTCTCTGCAGTGGGAGCTGGAGTACGAGGTCAGCCGGAGGCCAAGGCAGGTGGTATACATCAGAATCGAGGCTGACATCTCAGCATTAACTTATCCAAACAAGAAGCAGGCGGTATGTTATCCTGCTAGCTGTGGAGGAGGAGCAGCAGCAGGAGGAGGAGGACGAGGAGGAGGAGGAGATAGAGGAGGAAGGAAGAGACAGAGAAAATTGAGAAATGGGGGAGTACGAGCTGCAGACAGGAACGGGGGGGGGAGTGTCCCGACAATGCGATCATCTGCCCACCCAACCCTCGGTCCCAGAGGGCCGACACACCAGTTAGCATACGAGGCTAAACATAACATGAGACTTGCTGCCATTTCAAAGCCCTTGATCTCGATCCCGTCACTGATCCTGAGAGTTTCAGCCGCGAATCTCTGGCAGCGTGTCCGACATGGTTTACAGGATTACAGCATGTTGAAGTCCAGTCATCACAAGCTGGTTAACAGTCCTCTTAATGTGTTTATTTACTACTTTGCGCCTACAAATTTGTACTTGTTGTAGATAGAGTGACTGTTCTGTTTATCAGATTCTTTCATGATCTGTCCATTGGCCAAGTTTTGCACATTGTCTACTACATCATATTAAACACATATGATTTATAGCTCGTCATTGTACATATTTATGTTGTTAAAATATTGCTGTATCACTGAGTGTAAAACCATAAACTTTTATTATCTTTAACCTCTTACTTCTTTGTTGTTGCTGATTAGTTGCAGCATGTTGAACTCTGGCTATCAAAAGGCTGCTTAACTTCTTTTGTGTGTGTGTGTGTGTGTGTGTTTTTAACCAATTTACTACTACAAATGTGTACTTACGTGTTGTATTAATATATTGCTGTGATTATTTATCTACTCTGGTCATCCGTTTCTTCCTTGATCTGTCTATTGGTAATGTTTTGCACATTATCTATATAATAAAAATGTTCTATGATTTATAGGTCCTATCACTGCATATTTATGTTAAGTTGGGTGTAAAACCTCTAAAACCTTTTTTTGCTGCAAATTAGTTGCAGACACAGAAAAAATGTTTTTTTTTTAGCAAACAAATGGGTTCATAGATTGTTTTTATAATATGCCTCACTAACTAATCTAGAAAATACAATACAAAGAGCAATAAAAGGGAACTATCTACTTCAATTTGATCTTTTACTGTTTTTTTAATATGACTTTTCTGCGTTTTATTCCTAAGGTAGAGAAATGACAGCAAATGAGGAGAAAGGAAGATTGGGAATGACATCCAACAAAAGGCCAGAAACACCAGTCTCACTTTTAAACAAGGTACTGTGGCCCATTGCTATTTTTATTTAAGAAGTAGTAGTAACTTTAATGTAGCAGAATAATCACAGCATGTAGTCAAGTATCAGAAGTTTACAAGAGTTTTAATAGAGCAGTGGAAGTTTAAACTATAACAGTGGATGTCATTTAAGTAGACGTTTACCTGCAAACTCATAATCTGAAAAG